ACCCAGGGCCTCATGCATGCAAGGAAAGCACTCTACCAATGAGCCACCTTCCCAGCCCCAGTGCTTTCTTATTATACTTGTTACAGAACAAAAAAGTCCCCTTTGAACTAGTGTTTTGCACACCTCACTAATTTCCTCTCTTAGACGTTTCTTTCTTGCTTACTATACATAGCCATACTTACTTTCTCAACGGAACCAAGGATTTCTTGCTATGTGGCCCACTATCTACTGTTTAAATTTTTTTTTTTTATTAATGGGGCTTGAACTTGGGGCCTAGGAGCTGTCTCTGAGCTTTTTCCCTCAAGGTTAGTTAGTGCTCTACCATGAGCCACAGTGCCACTTCTGCTTTTCTGGTGGTTAATTGGAAATAAGAGTCTCACAGACTTTTTTGCTGAGATGGCTTTGAACTGTGAACCTCAGATCTCAGCATCCTGAGTAGCTAGGATTACAGGTGTGAGCCAACAGTACCCAGCATTTCCTCTCTTTAAAATATGTCATTCACATACTCCTAATCAGTTAACTGAGGATTCTGTTTAAATGTCAGTTCTTCAGCCATACTCCTTGAGTTACTATCTATAATTGTGTCTCTCATATCTTCCATTTTTCCCTAACATTTCCTTAGTATTTTCATTTATAAAACATTTGTGTAGGCTGGGAAGTTGGCTCAGTGGTAGAGCGCTTGCCTTGCATGCCTGAGGCCCTGGGTTCGATTCCTCAGCACCACATAAGCAAAAAGAAAAAAGCCAGAAGTGGCGGTGTGGCTCAAGTGGTAGAGTGCTAGCCTTGAGCTGAAGAGCTGAGGGACAGCGCTCAGGCCCAGAGTTCAGGCCCCACGACTGGACCCAAAAAATAAAAATAAAAAATAAAACATATATGTATTTCGTAATTTTGTGGGTCATTGATTTTCTTAGAAGGAACCCAGATTCTATGACAGCAGCAATCACATTCCTAGCTCTTAGCATAGTCCAGCTTAAAGAGTCAGGAAAACATTTAGTTGTTAGTTGATGAATGAATTCCCAAGTGCAAGTTTTAATTCTAATAAAATTAAGCAGAGAATACTTAATGAAAGCTTCATCTATAGCCCAGTAGAAGTATTTTAGATACACAGTATGTTCCCTAAGTATTTATTCAATGCATCTTAGATTATTAACTAGATTCCACATTTTCTTCTTCCAACTCACATAGCATTTTTCTAAAATATTTCTTCCACCATCATCATTAATTACCCAAAGAACTACTATTACTTATTCTTCTTTTCTATTCTTTTCTAGGTCCAAGACTGGGACTCAAACTTTGTACTTGATGTTTTCACTCGTTGGCTGGTGTTCTACCAACTAAGACATACCTCCAACCCCACTACCCAACTATTGCCTATTTTTATCAAACTTAGTTTTTTTCATTCTTCTAACTCTGAAGTAGCTAGTGTATCTCATAATCCTACAATTATCTTACTATCTCAAATTATTTCTAATGTTTTCACGTATGTGAATGTCAGTTGTTTAAAACACCTTCACCAAAGGTGTACATCTTTCTTCTGTTTTGGCATCCCCTCTTTTCTTGGCCACCGATAGTCAAAGAAAGAGACCGTTATTCAAAAATGTGAGATAAAATGAAGCTCACTTGGTTGCTATGTATAAAAGTACTCAGCCTCTTTAATGTAAGCTCTCTTTTATGTGTGTGTGTGTGTGTGTGTGTGTGTGTGTATGTGTGTTCCTGGGCATGAAACCTAGGCCTTCCTGCATGCTAGATAAGCAACACCCCTAAAGAAAGGTGGAGTTTAGGGATTGACTAACTTTGTAAATGAGAGAGGGTACATGTGAGGCTTAAAAGTATAATACCAGCCGGGTGCCAGTGGCATGCCTGTAATCCTAGCTACTCAGGAGGCTGAGATCTGAAAATCATAGTTCAAAGCCAGCCCAAGTAGGAAACCATATGAGACTCCTTATCTCCAATAAACTACTAGAAAACCGGAAGTGGTGCTGTGGCTCAAGTGGTAGAGCCCTAGCCTTGAACTGAAGAGCTAAGAGACAGCGCTCAGGCCCAGAGTTCAAGCTCCACAACTGGCGAAAAAGAAAAAAAAAAAAGATACTAGAGCAAGACTGTTTCTATTTGGCTGACTTCAAGAAGTATGAAGATCATCACTGATTGTTTGCTTTAAAAAAATTTTTTTAAGCCAGGTGCTGGTGGCTCACACCTGTAATCCTACTCAGGTGGCTGAGACCTGAAGATCATGGTTCAAAGTCAGCCCAAGCAGGAAAGTCCATGAGATTCTTATCTCCAATAAACCACCAGAAAACTGGAAGTGATGCTGTGGCTCAAGTGGTAGAGTGCTAGAGTTGCAAAGCTGAGGACTAGGCCTAGAGTTCAAGCCCCACAACCAAAAAAAAAAAAAAAAAAAATTTAGCCAGGTACCAGTGGCTCATGCCTATAATCCTAGCTACTCAGGAGGCTGAGATCTGAGGATTGTGATTTGAAGCCAGCCTGACAGAAAAGTTCCTGCGAGACTCATCTCCAGTTAACCACTTAAAACCCAGAAATGGTGCTATGGCTCATGTGGTAGTGTCTAACTTGAGCACAAAGAGGCTCAGGGACAGCACCCAGGCCCTGAGTTCAGGCCCTGCAGCAGACAAAAATAATTTTCTTTTTTAAAAAAGAGGTTTATTTACTAGAGTTGTTATTGATCTATTAATTCAGTTTAAATCACTGCTAGGCTAGACACAGTTGGCTCACATCTGTAATCCTAGCTTTAAGAGGCTGAAACCATGAGCTGGAAATGTGGCTTAGTGGTAGAGTGCTTGCCTAGCATGCATGAGGCCCTGAGTTCGATCTCTCAGTACCACAAAAACAGAAAAGGCCAGAAGTGGTACTGTGGCTCAAGTGGTAGAGTGCTAGCCGTGAGCAAAAGCAGCTCAGGTATAGTGCCCAAGCCCTGAGTTGAAGCCCCAGGACTGGCCAAAAAAAAAGAGGCTGCGACCTGGAAGGTGGAAATTTGAAGCCAACCCAGGCAGAACAGTCTCTGAGAGTTCATTTTCTTTTTTTTTTTTTTTGGTGGTGGTGGGACTTGAACTCTGGCCTGACCGCTGTCGCTGTGCTCTTCAGCTCAAGGCTAGCGCTCTACCACTTGAGCTACAACGCCACTTCCAGTTTTCTGGTGGTTTATTGGAGATAAGAGTTTCACGGACTTTCCTGCCTGGGCTGGCTTTGAACCTTGATCCTCAGATCTCAGCCTCCTGAGTAGCTAGGATTACAGGCGTGAGCCACTGGCGCCCGGCGAGAGTTCATTTTCAATTAACCTATAAAAAGCCATATTGGAGGCATGGTTCAAGTGGTTTAGTGCCAGACATAACTAAGAAAGCTGAGTTCAAGCCCTGGTACTGCATGAAAACAAAGAAAATCTTCTGTTTACTAGTTGTTACCATAGCTGTAGAAGTCTTTTTTTTTTGTTGGTCGTGGGGCTTGAACTCGGCTTGGGCACTGTCCCTGCACTCTTCAGCTCAAGGTAGGGCTCTACCACTTGAGCCACAGTGCCACTTCCAGTTTTCTGAGTGGTTTATTGGAGATAAGAGTCTCACGGACTTTCCTGCCTGAGCTGGCTTTGAACTGTGATCCTCAGATCTCAGCCTCCTGAGTAGCTAGGATTACAGGCGTGAGCCACTGGCACCTTTAAGTGTTTTTTTCCTTAAGAATACACACACACACACACACACACACACATTTTTCTAATTATATATACACATTCTTTTTTTTCCATAGTGGGATTGGAGGCAAGGCTTAGTTGGTAGAGCACCAGTGAGTGAAAGCATCAGGTTCCAACTTTAAGCCACTGGTGTCAGACTTACATTCAACTTGTTTTTAGATGCAGAAGAGATTGCAGTAAGTCTAGAGTGGCTCTGCTTTTTTGCCTTATCATTCAGAGGGCAGCTATGTAATTTATTTTTTATTCCTCCAGATAAGCTCTTCCTTTCCTATTTTTTTTTTTTTTTTTGTCGGTCATGGGGCTTGAACTGTGGGCCTGGGTGCTGTTCCTCAGCTCTTCAGCTCAAGGCGAGCACTCTACCACTTGAGCTACAGCGCCACTTCCAGTTTTCTAGTGGTTTATTGGAGATAGGAGTCTCACGGTCTGTCCTGCCTGGGCTGGCTTTGAACCTTGATCCTCAGATCTCAGCCTCCTGGGTAGCTAGGATTACAGGAGTGAGCCACTGGCACCTGGTTTCATTATTTGTTGAGGACTGAATCCAGTGCTCCCAAATGGTCAGAGCACACTTTTTTTTTATGCTTGCACAGAGGACACATTCAGATAACCAGAGGTCTGGCCCTGCACCTTTCCTGTTTACAGTCGTGGGTGGGTCAGCACAATGGGTGGTATGAGTATTCTTGGAAGCCTGGGACAGCTGGCATAAACTACACACGGGAGAGACTACGGGTTACAAAAATACATCTCACTAAACTCAAACCAAATGTAACCCTAATTCAACTTTATATTTTACAAAATGCTTGCTAGCTACTCCAACACCACTAGATAAGAGGAAGCTTGGCAGAGAGGAAGTCACTGAGAACAAAGATTGCTGTTAAAATATCGGACTTTTACAGATCTTACAAAAGCATATGATCATGTGAATGTATCACTAGGACTCCTTCCAGGGACTTGGAAAGGGACAGTGTTAATGAATTCTGAAGCTTCAGTTTCACTGGCTTCACAGTAAATCTGCCAGTCTGGAGCCATTCTTTAGTCTCTGATTTCTTTACTCTTCTAAAAAGTATTTGAGAACTACAAGAAGCCAATTTGATGTGATATCTGTCAACATTTACCTGTATTAGGAGTTGAAATATATAAAATACTCATTTAAAAACAATTATAAATGTCACACATTAATGTAAACATTTTTTCTTCAGAAAAGATCACATGCTTCTTTATTAACATTTTGAAGTTTCATTTAAATTCTTAGCACTATTTATACTAACTACTGACATCTATGAAATTGCTTCCCAACATTTAAATTTGTTAAAACCATTTTCAGGGATCTTAACTTTAATTGACCTTAAGACTTGAGTATCTCGACATTATTATTGCCAGCTTTTCCTAAATCTCTGCATATACACATTTAGGTAAGCCAACTCACTGGCTGGCTTCATAAACAATATTTTTTATTTTTATTTATTTATTTATTTTTTGGTCAGGTCATGGGGCCTGAACTCTGGGCCTGGGTGCTGTCCCTCAGCTCTTCAGCTCAAGGCTAGCGCTCTACCACTTTAGCCACAGCGCCACTTCTGGCATTTTTCTTTTTGCTTATGTGGTGCTAAGGAATCGAACTCAGGGCCTCATGCATGCAAGGCAAGCGCTCTACCACTGAGCCACCTTCCCAGCCCTCCAAACAATATTTTTGAATGAAAGTAACTTTCCAAAGCAAGAAGAATTTACAGAAAAGTAGGGGTATTTTACATTGCTGCAAATCTGTTTAATGTCCAGCTTAAGATTCTCATACCAGTCCTGCATGCAGTCCATTGCAATAGCACAGGCTGGGCAGTGTCAGGAAAAACTCCATTGTATTGTCTGTCTTTAGTGAAAGGGGCAGAGTCTTATCTTTGACCTTGTTGACCCCTGACCACATTTTGAAAATCATTTATTTAAATATCTGTACTTTGAAGTTGCCTGGAGCTCTCAAGCATCCTTTTATCTGTTTTTGTTACTACGTAATGAACCCTACCTCCCAGGTTACTGTCAGTTGTTAATTATTGCTTTGCTTTTTAGCCCTATGGAAAATTTTAGAAGCATTTTTTAAATGATTAACTCTTAGAGAAGTTATGCGTTTATTGACAAGGGGGAAATTACCTTTTTCACTGTCTGCTTCCATTAGTATGGCTCTCTTTTAAGAAAATGAGTAAAACCAAACACAACATCTGCTGTCTTACACGAAGGACTTCATAGTTTCCTTTTCCTTCCAGTCCTGGCCTCCCTAGCACACACCAGCTCGAGGTGCTGGGTTGGTGCTGAGACCGAACGAACCCTGGGCCTCAAGTACGGTAGACGAAAGGCCTACCATTGAGAAACCCTTAACAACAGATTCTAATATTTACCCCTATTTAGGGATGCTAGGCCACGAGGTAAGTGCTTTACATGAATTATCATTTAATTCCCATAACAATCCTAGGAGACAGATAACACTGTAATTCCTTTTCGCAGATAATACCCAGTGGAGTACTGGGGTGAGTCTCGAGGACCATCTAACCCTGGAGCTCTATTGCCAAGAGATAAAAGTTTAAAAGGTTGGGAGACAACGAAATTCCAGAAAGATGAATGGAGAGGAGGGACCATGTTTGAAAGCAAAAAGGCTTTGGGGCCATCACAGAGACACCAAGACCAAACGCATCATATGACTTCTCTCTCCAATATTCCTTTCTGTTTTATTTTCTACACGTCTATAAGCCTCTTCCCATTTCCAAGGAATGTCTTTGCTGGCGGCTTCAGCGGTTAGACCGGACAGTGACCCTGAAATTAAAGCGCTAAACTTGAGGGCGGGGGTAGTGCGGGGGAGGGGGAGGGGGGGAAGTCCCCTTGTAACCACGGTAACGGCAGCGTGGCGCGCGCACTGCGCAGGCGCGTTCCCCCTCGGGCGCGCCTGCCCCTCCCCGGCGAGGGCCAGCCCTACCCCACCTCCCCAGCCACGGGCTCCACAAGCCGCTGCGGGTGGAGGCGGGAGAGAGGCCGGCGCGGGGCGCAAGCGCACTCGCGGGGTGCTGTTGTGACCGGGCTCACGTAGCAAGCGCGGCCGTCGCGGCCTAGTGGTTATAAAAGGGCTGACGGGCTCCCTCTGCTGCCCAGTCGCGCCGCCAGCGGGCTGAGGGCACGGGGTGGGTAGCCGGAGCGAGCGCGGTCTTCTGTGGCTGCGGAGCGTGCCTTCCTCGCTGTCCACTCTCCAGGTGAGACGTTCCCCGGACCTGGGCGCCGAGGCGCAGGCCCCACGGCGGCCGCGGACGCCCTGGTGGGGAGGCCGCAGCGGCCGGGCCTCCCCGCTCCGGTGGGATGGCTCGGGGGCGGGGGTCGCCCGGGAGCCGCAGAGCCTTCGCTGCCGACCAGGCCCCTCGCCTGCGACCCACGACCCCCGGCCGCCCCCGAGGCCGGGCCGCCCCGCGTCGCGCCCCCTCCCCTCCTCGGCCCCCGTCCCGCCCCCGGGCCGCCGGGGCTGCGGCAGCCTCAGTCCCCGCCCCGAGACCAGAACCTTCTTGAATGTTCCTTCGCGGGAAGGACTCGCCCCGCGGGTGGTGAAGAGCTCGGTCGGTACCTGGTCCTCCCGGCGAAGTTGAGGGGACCGCGCGGGCGGGGGGCGAGCTCGGGGCCGCCGCAGCCGCAGATGGTTTCCAGGTGGCGGTGAGGTGAGGGTTCTAAAGCTCGGAGCGGGAGCCCGGGCTCCCCCGGGTCGGGGAAGCGGACCTACCCGGAAAGTTCGGGCTGCTCATCTGTTGCGCGCCCCGCGCTGCCCGAGCGGCTGGACGCAGCCTGGGGGCGGGAGCGGCTGTCACCTCACCCGTGTCGGGGAGCTGGGGGAAGCCGGGCTGCTTCACTCTTCCTCCCCAGGAATCCCTCTCAAGGTCCGAGAGCGTCTCTCCTCTCTCCTTTCTCTGCCCCCCTCCGTAGCTTCCTCTACCTTCTCTTTCGACTTCGCATGGTTGCCCACTCCATAGTTACGTGAGACTTGAATTGCGTTAGATGACTGGACCCCAGATTAGGTTTCAAGGGGGGAGGAAGATGGTTCAATTACGAACCCATTTCTCTTAAATCGAACCTATGGAGTACAAATCAGTTTTTAGATGCTAACATATCTTATTTTTGAGCTAATATGCATTTGTAATATCAGAGTGTCATTGTGATGTAGACGGTAATAAGATTTCTGCAAAGAATCGAGAAGACTGGGAAATGTGCACTATTTTAAGAAAGGGATGAAGCAGCAGCTAGATCCACTTTTAGGAACGGATCAAAAAAGGCCAGAGATTTGGTAATTTCGACTTCACTGCTCCTCAGAGCTGTGGCTCTTGGAGTTTTCCTTGGAATGCACTCCGAAGGGATGAAATAACCACTACGTGAGTGGGGGAGGGGGAAAGACGTGGCAGCAGTGTTCTTTCATCAACTTTTTGCTCACTTTTTTTTTTTTTTTTTTTACGGTTCTGGAAAGAAACGTATTTCCCTTTTGAGCTTATGAATGGGGCTAGATTCCTAAAATAATCAGATGAAAAATTAAGCCTCCACAGCAGGAACGCTGGAAATTAAAAACATATTTAAGGAGAATTTGTAGGGTTTTTTTGGATTGATTTCTATGGATAGGTACCTTAAGTAGGGAATAATCAAGCTGAAAGGGAACAGTCTTGAATATGTTTTCCGTTGGTTTAAAATGATTTTTCTTTAACTTCAGCTTTTAGTCTGTGCCATTTCAGAATCTTGGAAATTCAAGCTTTTTCTTCCTGTGAGAAGCATAGGTTTAATGACTTATCCCTAAGTCACATCATGTCATGTCAGTTGTTGGTTTTGAAACATTGTGCTTTAAGCCCTTCTAGTGATTTTGATAGCTGATGACAAAAGTTTCTTTGAATTATATAGACTGTCTAAGAAAAGGTCTACTTTCGGCTCTCTTGGGTGGGTTATGCTTTCCACTGACTTACTAAAATGAATTACTTTGAAGCAATGAAACCAGGAACTTTGATAAGAGGTTAATTACATTGGTCATTTTGTGTGTTGGGAACTTAGCTGGTAAAATTGATAAAATATGTACAACTTTTAATAAGTACAAAGAAAGCAATACAAATGATTATTGCAAAAAGAAAGCATATTATTTGTATAGTCTACATTGTTGGAGGAGCTTGGCTTTTTGGTAAGAAGATAGTGACTTTTTCTTTTTTTTGGGTCCGGTTGTGGGGCCTGAACTCTGGGCCTGGGTGCTGTCCCTCAGCTCTTCAGCTCAAGGCTAGCGCTCTACCACTTGAGCCCTAGCGCCACTTCTGGCTTTTTTCTTTTTGCTTATGTGGTACTGAGGAATCGAACCCAGGGCCTCATGCATGCAAGCGCTCTAATACTGAGCCACCTTCCCAGCCCTGATAGCGACTTTTTTATTAACTTAGTTTATTACATACTGACAAGCCTGTATGTCCCAGCTGGCTTTGAACTGTGATTCTTATCCCTGCCACCTGAGTAGCTAGGTATATAGGTGTAAGCCACCAGCACCCAGTTTACCCTAATAAACTGTTTTGTTTTTTTGGTCTTGAGGCTTGAACTCTGGGCCTGGGCACTGTCCCTCAGCTCCTGCACTCAGGGCAAGCACTCTACCACTTGAGCTACAGCGCCACTTCAGGTTTTCTGGTGGTTAATTGGAGGTAAGAGTCTCACGCACTTTCCTGCTCGGGCTGGCTTTGAACCATGGTCCTCAGATCTCAGCCTCCTGAGTAGCTAGGATTACAGGTGTGAACCACCAGTGCCCAGTTCCTATTAAACTTTTGCAAAAGTGTCTTAAAAGTTAACAGGTTGTTAGAATGTTGATTTGCGCAATTGTTAATGAAAGTATATCTGTCTTGTTGTGTGGTCTCCCTCCTTCATATTGTAACCTATTTTAGTTTTTCATGCTGAAGGTGGACTAGGCAAGCAAAAATAAAAATTTTATTGCCCTTGGAATGCTCTTCTTGCTGTGAGATCTTGCATGTATACATCTATTTCATTTTGTGCTGGTACTGGGGCTTGAATTCAGGGCCTAGGTGTTGTCCCTTAGCATTTTCCCTCAAGGCTAGCACTCTGCCACTGGAGTCACACTTCTACGTCCAGCTTTTTGCTGGCTAATTGGAGATGCATCTGAGACTTTTTCTGCCTGGACTGGCTTCTAACTGCAATTCTTAGATCTTAAGTCTCCTGAGTAGCTAGGATTATAGGCGTGAACCAGTAGTGCCTGGCTGAATTTTACAATTAAACCATAATGAGGTATATGTATATAAATACATGAATATGAAACAAGCCAAATAAACTTTTGTATGCATATAAGTGAAACAAAGATTGTGTTTGTTTTACTTAATGAAATTTGTTTATATATACTGAAGTTATTCTGACATTGGTTTTCCTTTAGTTACCTAAAGAAACAAGAAATTCAAATTACTCTTTTTTTTTTTTTTTTTTTTTGGTCCTGGGGTTTGAACTTTGGTCCTGAGCTCTGTCTCTGAGCCTCTTTGTGCTAAAGGATAGTACTCTCCCACGTGAGCCACAGTGCCACTTCCAGCTTTTTTGAGTAGTTAATTGGAGATACGAGTCTCAGGGGAACTTTTTTTTCCAGGGCTGGCTTTGAACTGTAATCCTCAGATCTCAGCCTCCTGAGCAGCTAGGATTACAGGTGTGAGTCACCTGTGCCCGACCTCAAATTACTTTTATTTAAGCCACACCAGCAATATTTGAATTTGATGTAATGAAAACATTCCTTTTTCAAAAGATTTGCTGAGGGCTGGGAAGGTGGCTCAGTGGTAGAATGCTTGCCTTGCATGCATGAGGCCCTGGGTTCGATTCCTGAGCACCACATAAGCAGAAAAAGCCAGAAGTGGGGCTGTGACTCAAGTGGTAGAGCACTAGCCTTGAGTGGAGGAGCTGAGGGACAGCGCCCAAGCCCAGAGTTCAAGCCCCACGACTGACAAAAAAACAAAAACAAGAAAAAAGATCTTTAGAGGTGATCAATATGACTATTAGTATATTGGCTAAAAATACACTATGGAGATTCACGCTTCTTACATAATTGTCATCAGTGAATGAGTACTATTCTTGGGCTTCCTCTTCCTGCTAGTGCTTTAAGTAAATGTGTCAATGTGTCCATGTTTTAGTGGTTTACAGCTCTCTCACTTAAATAGTATTTTTTTTTACATCAAATTAATATTCTCTAATGCACTGTCTTATTGGACAAATGAGCTCTATTATAAGAGAAAATTGTAACCTAATGGTTTTATCCATATACATATCTACAGTTAAGTTCAGCCAGTTTTCTTCCATTGTTTAAACATGTGATAATAAAACACTTTATATTCATTTGTTTTCCATTGTATAATATATCTAGTAGATAATATATAAAGAAAAGATGTTTGCTTAGCTCACAATTTTGGCAGTCCAGAAACCCGTCTTCTGCTTGGCTCTAGCAAGGGCCCCCACCCAGGTGAATGGCATCATAGTATGTGTGTGTGTTTATGTATGTATATGTATGTGCCTATTTTTTCTTGCCAGTCCTGGGGCTTGAACACATTGCCTGGGCACTGCTTCTGAGTTTCTGAGCCACAGCACCACTGCACCACTTGTAGCTTCTTCTGTGTATGTGGTACTGAGGAATCAAACCTAGGTCTTCATGCATGCTAGGCAAGCACTCTACCACTAAGCCACATTCCCAGCCCATAAGAATATATTTGAAAGTGATGGTTATATGGTGAGATGGGAAGCCAGAAAGATTCATGGGGAAGGCTCATTCTTTTTTTTCTTTTTTTTTGGGGGTCTGGTTGTGGGGCCTGAACTCTGGGCCTGGGCGCTGTTCTTCAGCTCTTCAGCTCAAGGCTAGCGCTCTACCACTGGAGCCACAGCACCAGTTCTGGCTTTTTCTGCTTATGTGGTGCTAAGGAATCGAACCCAGGGCCTCATGCATGCAAGGCAAGCACTCTACCACTGAGCCACCTTCCCAGCCCCTTTAAGATTCTTTTTCTTAGTCCCCAACTCGGTTGCTAAAATAAGTCTTCATGCTTTCTTTCTTTTTTTTTTTTGGTCAGTCGTGTAGCTTGAACTCTCAGCCTGGGTGCTGTCCCTGATCTCTACCACTTGAGCTACAGCACCCACTTCTGGCTATTTCTGTGTAATTGGTGCTGAGGAATCAAACCCAGGGCCTCATGCATGCGAGACAAGCACCTTACCACTGAGCCACCTTCCTAGCCCCAGTCTTCATGCTTTCTAACCTTGAATTCTCTGAATTTTAAAGAATGATTATTTCAGTTAAGAAAAATGTTGAAGATCTTTTCTACAACTATTTATAGCTAATAAAAAGAAAGCCAGGCACCGGTGCCTATAATCCTAGCCACTCAGGAAGGTGGCTGAGATCTGAGGATCTCAGTTCAAAGCCAACCCAGGCAAGGAAAGTCCATGAGACTCTTCAGTTAACCACCAGAAAACTGGAAGAGGTGCTGTGGCTCGAGTGGTAGAGTGCTTGCCTTCAGATGAAGAGCTGAGGAACAGTGCCCAGGCCCAGAGTTCAAGCCCCATGACCGACCAAAAACAGAAAATAAAAATATATATACAAAGACTGGACTAATGTTTAATTTTAGAGACACCATCCCAAAGATGTGATTAGTAAGCTTTTATTGCATATTTATTATGTACTGAAAAAATAATTTCTAGAAATCCAGAATGGAAGACAGTTACATTTTTATGTCTGAGAGCAAATACTGTTTTACATAGACTCAAGATTTCTTGTAACTTTTTCTTACACTTGATTGTATATTAACTATATTTGCATATCCACTTCT